CGCTGCACCACCTTCGTAGGGGATGGTATCGGGCTCGCGTGTCGCGACTCAACCCTCATAGTTGACGGCATCGGGCTCTTGCTTCGTTGTGCCACCCTCGTAGTTGATGGCGTCGGGCTCGTGCTGCGCGTCACCTCCGTCTTAGCTGATGGCGTCAGGTACCGCTGCAGGCTGCCCCTGCATGCCGCTGCAAACTCCTTCTTCTCATCCTCCTCTTCCTGCTGCACGATTCCAGATCGTCAATATGCAACAATCAGGTTGATCCGTGGCGTTGGAATCCCGAGAACGACGTTTTGGCATGCGTCAGGTCTTCAATCGGTTGTCTTTCAACGAGGCAGCTCCCTCTGTGGAAATGAGCCGTTGTAGGGGCCTGTGAAGAGGGAGCTTGGAGGGAGGGTTTATCCCAACTTCGTTCGTGACTCTTCGGTTTACACTCGTTCTCCTCCTCCTCCTCCTCCTCCTCCTCCTCCTCCTCCTCCTCCTCCTCATTGCCCCCATTGGCATAGCATTGGCATTGGATTGGGGTCGCCATGGCATTGGCTTGGCATTGCGTTGGCACTGCTTTAGCATTCCGCTGGCGAGACCGAATGCATTCCTTCGCAGAAGGATTCCTATTGAAACCCTCCGCACAAAGCATTCCTCTTGAAATCTACACAAAGGGTTACCCCAACGACATTGCATTGGCATCGGATTTGAGATCGTCTTGGCATTGGTTTGGCATTGCGTTGGCACTGCTTTTTCATTGCGCTGGCATTGCGCTGGCGAGTTCCAATGCCTCCCTTCGCAGAAGGATTCCTCTTGCAACCCCCAGGAGGGTTCTTCTTGAAATATACCACAAAGGATTACCCCAATTCGCATAGCATTGGCATTGGATTGGGGCCGCCTTGGCATTGGTTTGGCATTGCGTTGGCACTGCTTTAGCATTGCGCTGGCATTGCGCTGGCGAGTCCTCACGGCTCGCTCCGCAGAAGGAGTCCTACTGAACTCCTCCGCAAGAAGGAGTCCGATTGAACCCCCCACAAAAAGGATTCCTAGTGGAATCCTCCAAAGGAGGATTCCTGTCGAAACCCTCCACAGAAACATTCCTATCGAAATCCTCCGAAGAAGGATTCGTCATGACATCATCCACAGAAGGCTTCTTTTGGAAATCCACCGAAAGAAAGTAATCCTCAATTGGCATTGCATTGGCATTTGTTGGCAATGTATTGGTATCGCAACAGCATGAATTGGCTTGTTGCAGGAGAGAGACACCGAGAGAGACAAAGAGAGGAAGAAAAGAAGAGGATAACGCAGAAAATAAGAAACATTAGAACTTCACTCAAAAAAGAGAGGCGGAGGAGCGTTTCACTCTATAAACAAATATCCTGGCAAAGGACCCAACCATACGCAAGTGGGAGAACAGCAAGGCAGGTGGGACGAAACAAAGGGAACTATGGGGCCACGAACCGTGTGGAAGTGCGCCAAAATCGGGCGGGGCCGTTCTGCGAACCCTGCCACTGGGGTCTTCGGTGGAGCTCCCTGTGGGGCCACGAACCGTGTGAGGGGTGCGACAAAATGAAGCAAGGCCGCCATGCGAACCCTGCCAGTGGGGCCTTCGGTGGAACTCCCTATGAGGCCACGAACCATGTGAGGGGTGCGCCAAAATGAAACAGGGCCGCCATGCGAACCCTGCCACTGGGGCATTCGGTGGAACTCCCTATGAGGCCACGAAGCGTGTGAGGGGTGCGACAAAATTAAAGGCCGCCATGCGAACCCTGCCACTGGGGCCTTCGGTGGAACTCCCTATGGAGCCACGAACCGTGTGAGGGGCGCGACAACATGAAACAGGGCCGCCGTGCGAACCCTGCCACTGGGGCCTTCGGTGGAGCTCCCTATGGGGCCACGAACCATGTGAGGGGTGCGCCAAAATGGCGCGGGGCCGCCATGCGAACCCTGCCACTGGGGTCTTCGGTGGAGCTCCCTAAAGGGCCACGAAGCGCTGTACTGTGTGGGCGAAACGCAAGGAGGAGGAGAAGGAGGAGGAGGAGGAGGAGGAGGAGGAGGGGAGGAGGGGAGGCGGGAGGGAGGGAGGGAGGAGGGAGGGACGCGGGGCGCTGTCTCTTCAAAACGAGGACCCAACACAGGATGATTCGGAAAACATATGAAAACGACGAGGTCCCTCACAATCCCCCGGCCTCGAGAACGGGGGATCCTCCTCGTCCTCCTCCCTCCTCTCTCCTCTCCTCCTCCTCCTTCTCTCCTCCCCCTCCCCGTCCTCCCCCTCCTCTTCCTCCCCCGCCTCCCCCATCCTCCTCCCTCTCCCCCTCCTCTTCCCCCCCTCCTCATCCTCCTCTTCCTTCTCTTGGGGGTCAGGAGGCCTCTCTGGCTGCACCGGCGCCTTCCTCCGCGCCGGCCTCGCTGTTTGCCGCGAGCTGCTCTCGCGGAGCGCGGCGGCGACCCCACGCCCCGCCCCCCAGCCCGCGCGCGCTGGCCAGGCTGGCCCGCGGCCGCGGCCGCAGTCGCAGCGACGGCTCAGCCGCCGCGGGCCCCTGCTCGTGGCGAGCCGGAGCTCGGCAGGTGCGCGGCGCTGCCGCTGCGGGCCCGCCGCCGCCGGGGCTCCGAGGCGAGGCGGCGGCAGTCGGTTCTCGGGGGGGGGTCGTCGCCGCGGCTGGACGCAGCTTGGGAACTTGTTGCGCTTGGACCCCGGGAGGGGTCCATGGGCCAATTTGGAGCTGCGGTTGTCTCGGCTCCCCCGCCGCCGCCGGGCCGGCGCGGCCGATGCGAGAGGGCCCTGCCCGCTGCCATGCGCTGTGCGCCGTGCTGGGCTGTACGCAGTGCGCTGCGCTGCGCGCTGTGCGGTGCTGTGCGGTGTGCGCAGTGCGGTGCGGCTGGTACAGCACAGCGCGGTGAAGGGACTGGGGATTGGGGGAGTCTCATCCTGGGTCACCCGTGGGGCTGCGAAGATGATCGCGCTTCGCGCGCAGCGGCCTGTACCAAAGCATTGGTCCGTCTCCGAGGGGGCGGTGCGAAGGGGCGAGGGCGCACAGATGATCGCGCGTCGTACATCGCGGGCGCGATACGCGAGGTTGGGTGATCTGAGACTGCTGCCGTTCGGAGGTAGGGAAATCGCGCCAGAGGTTTTTCGCCTTTCTCGACGAGATTGTAAATCCTGGCCGCGGGGCTGTCAAGCAGCGGTGCAGGCTGGATCGGCCCGTCCAGGGGAAGGGCTGTCGACACGACTAAGTCGGACCGTCGGACATCTGGGGCCCTCGTGTGCCATGAAGAGGTTGGTATTGAGCCGGGCAGTCCCAGACATGCTTGCGTCGTGAAAGAACACGATCGAAGGTTCTTGGCAGTTTTCGGCCTCCGGATCCCTCGCCGTGACTCGGGGAGGCCAGCCTGCCTTGGGGAAAGGGTCGGGACTTCCGGGGACCCCGTCGAGAACAAGCATCAAGACATCGCATGTATGGGGTAGTGCCCCTCGTGGGCAAGGCACGATTTGGGGGGAGCAGAGGCATGCGGCGCATACACCCTCTCAAGATGCTTGCCTTCTGCCCGCCAAGGGTGCACCACGGAACTCCAGGCGGTCCGATTCGATTGACCCCCCCTCCCTCCGCCTCCTGCTCCGGGGTGCCGGTGACGGAAGGGGAGGCGTTGGGGGTGGGGATGCAGCAAGTTCGCGCCGAGTCGGCGCCGCGGTGGCGACGGCGCGGGCGTCAAATATTAAAAGCTGACGACAATCTAAACGATCTCTACTACCTGGTATCCAAAACCCATTCAATATTGAACACTTTACACAATATCAGAAAACGATCGGAAATAAATAAACCTCCTACCCTGACGCGTCGATTGAGGAATTGGCCGTTTTCAGTTCGCGAGAGGGCGTCGCGGCCGTCATTTTTGCGGGTCCAGGTCCGTCGGTTGCGGTCCCAGGCCGTTTTCGCTGATGGGAGGTTTACTAAAGGGCGGTTTGTCCACCGCCGAAACGAAGTTCACGCCGGGAGGACAGGAACCAGCTGTAGCTCATTCGGGAGGCTGCTCCAGCGCGCAGGCCTGTGGGCGAGTCGCGAGGAGCTCGGCTGATCGTTCGATCCTTCAAGCAGTTTGGCACGCCAGGGTGCCGAGTGGACTCTCTCGTCACGACCCCACGCCCCAACCTAGGCGCTGGCTCGGACACTCCGTCCGCTGCGGTGGCTTCCCGCGGATGTGGGCCCCGCCCGGCATGAACATTTTGAGAGGAGCCTCAGGCTTGCGGGGGCCCCAAAACCGTGTGGTGACGGACCGCGTGGTGACCTCGGAATCCCCAACGTCCTCACCGCGCGGTCCGTCACCACACGGTTCTGGGACCTTCGAGGCCCGAGTTGCCCGAGACGTCCTCGGAGGACGACCCGAGTCCCAAAAAACCGTGCGGTGACCCAGAATCCCCACAGATTCACCATACGGTGTGGTCACCACACCTCTGGGGGCCCTCGAGACTTGAAGCTCGAATGCCCCCCCCTGGCCTCCCACTGCTTGAGACGCAGCCGGGGCCCGACATCAACAGGAGGTGGCTTGCGGCAGACTGCCGGATCTGCTTCTGGGCACGTGTCTGGCGCCAGCGTATTCGAGGGTGTCCTTCTTGGTATCCTTCCACTGCTTGAGAAGCAGCTGGGGCCCGAATCGACAACGGGAGTTGGGCATCGCGTGATGGGGGGCAGCGAGGGCTGCAGAAAAGAGGCCCTTCAGGGCCACTAAGGGGGTCCTTTAGGCCACACAAGGGGGCCTTTGGGTGCACCTTTCTCCCCCCCCCATTTATCGCCCCCCCCCCCTCCCCCCTTCAGCGACGCCCAAGGGGGGGGGTCCTCGCAGTGGCCTGCCAGGTCTGCCAACGAGTGCGCGTCTGGCCTTGTCTGGAAGGGCAAAATCGGTCGCGACAAGGCGTCCCTGTCGAGGCGTGCGCCAGTCTGGGCAGAAGAGACACGATGCCCACATGAGGCCCACTTTGGTTTCAGGAGGGTCCCCCGTTTTCGGGCCATTCCTTCGGTCTAGATCGGGAGACCTATTCGAAGCCGAAGCTCGCCGTGGCCAGACAAGCCCCTTCGTCTCGTATTCTCCACGCGGCGCACGCGTAGCCCCGCGGCGATGTCGTGGCTCCGCGCGGGTTCGGCGCAGCAATGGAATACAAATCTTCGAGACGCCTTCAGCCAGGCCGCCACCTCGGTGCAGAGGCTGGCCGAGCAGGTCCCCTTACCAGACGAGGAGCAGCTGCAGCAGATCGGGCGGACGCTGAAGACTTCCGCACAGACCCTCGCAACGCAGGCGAATGCGGCCCTCGAGGCAGCAGAGGACTCCCTCATAGAGGGCTTCTCCGGGCTCGCCGGGGCGCTGGACCCCGACGGCGACGAGTCGGTCGCTGGGCCCAGCGGCTTGAACATCCAGCAGCGTTTCGAGGAGGAGGGCCGCGCCCTGTCTGGCTGCGCCTCCATCGTGGAGCTGCTTGACGTGCTGAAGAGCTGGTTGGGCCGCCTGAAGGGGCCTGGAGGCCCTAGGCCAGACGCGCTGGGAGCCTTCCTGCGCAGCGGCGCTCTTGGGGCCGCGCTGGGCGCGATGGCGAACTTGAGGGCCGGGCGCGCGGCGCTCCGCGTGTCGGCAGGCTTGGAAGCCACGCGAGACGGCAACTCCGCGGCCCCGGTCGCCGTGGAGGTCGGCGCCGCGTTGCAGGCCATCCTTGCGTGCGTCTCCATGGCAGACGAGGTTCTGCGGGCGAAGCTCTTAGGGTTCTTGGCGGACGCCTCCGCGGCTGCAGCTGCCCAGGCTGGCGACCAGGGTAAGGCCCACGCCAAGACCACAGACGTGGCGGAGGTTCGCTTGGCACTTTCGCTGCTCGTGGCGATCACGACCGACGCGGACGAGGTGCCCTCCGTCTCCAAGGGCAGCCGTGACGGCTCCTTGGAGGCATGCCTCCAGGTGGTCACGGAGGCCTCGGCGGAGCCCGGCGCCTTGGTTCTGGCGCCCGAAGGCAGTGACGAGGTCGCTGCGCTGGCGGCGGGCGACGAGGTTTGGGCCGAGTGGCCAGGCGATGGACGTTGGTTCCGCGCCTGCGTCGTCTCCGTCTCGCTGGCAGGGCAGCAGGCGGAGGTGGAGTGGTTGATAGCGCCGCCCGACATCAAGTGCGGCCAGGAAGTGGAATACCTCGGCGCCGCCGTCGGCACGAGCGAGTCGGGCGCCTCGTTGCCGCTGCGGGCTATACGCCCGGGCAGCGGCAGCGACCGGCCCTGCTCCTGGGCGGCAATCGGGGAGGCGTGCTGGCCACAGGCCGTGGCGTCAGTGGACGCGCTCGCGAGGAGCTTCCGAGAGCTGCGGGAGCTTTGCGAGGCGCTGTCCAAGGGCGCGCCGCAGGGCGAGCCCCACGAGGACGCGGCCGTCAAGGCTTTGGAGGGCAAGCGCTCGGCGCTGGCCGCTGTGTGCGGGCAGGTGGAGCAAGCCGCAGGCGCAGATATGTCCAAAGGTCAGCAGTCGCTTTCTCCTGAGCAGGAGGCCGCGGCGCGGTCGCTGGAGGGCGAGTTCGCCCAGCTCTCCGGGCGAGCCGGCGAGATCGAGCAGGATCGGCAGGGTTTGCTGGCCAGGCTGCGGGCACTCGACGCCGAGGCGCAGGTCAACAAGGCCGCGCTGTCCAAGTGCGAGCAGGGCCTGCGGGCGCTCGGGCGCAGCCCAGCGGCGACCCTTGCGCGGCCCGTCCTGTCGCCCGAGGAAAGGCAGTCGCTCCTGCGCGAGGTGGAGGCGCTGGTGGAATCACGCCTGATTCAGGCGAGGGCGGTGGTCGAAGAGCGTGGCGTGGCGGCTACCAGGACGCTGCCCGAGGTCTCAGTGGCCTGCCAGAAGTCCGAGCAGCTGCGCCGCCGACGCCTGGAGGCACTCAGCGCTGGCCTCCACGCAGCGGCCTGGGGCCCGGACGCGGACGCCATCGCGGGAAATCCTGCACGGTTGGAGGCCCTGCGTGCGGCCACCCAGAGCACAGCCAAGCTCGTAGACCATGCGTGGCGCGAGATGGTGCAGATGGCTGCGGAGTTTTTCGGCGACGGTGGCAGTGCGGGCATGAACTCCGAAGACGCAAGTCGCTCGGCGAAGCGGTACAAGGAGATGAGGCAGGGTTTGCAAGCGAACTTGGACAGGCTGGCCAAGCTCGAGATGAACGTCCGAAAGGCGTCGGCGGCGCCAGCGGCGCCGGCAGCGCCAGCGGCGCCGGCAGCGCCAGCGGCGCCGGCAGCGCAAACCGTGCAGGCTCCGGTGATGGGTTTCGTGCCACCGCCACGGGCTTCGACTCCCTCCGCGGCGGCGGGCGCGGTCAGTGCAGCGGCTGCCGCAGCCCCGGCTGCCGCCACGGAGGAGGATTTCGCCCTGCACGAGGTCAGTCTGGACCGGGCCGCGGGGCAGCAGGCCACCACCGCCGTCGCCGATGCTCCACCCGCCGCCCCCCTGAAGGGGTTGCTGGTGCCCGCCACGCAGGCCACTGAGGAGCCCGTATTCAGGGGCGCGCCTGTGGACGCGCCGCCGTGAGGGCGCCCGGGGCCGAGCCCCGCTTTCGCGCTGCTGGGGAGCGTGCGCGGAATAAAAATTATTTACGCTTCGCGTATCCCCACCAGCCCATCTCACAGCAGCAACTCTTGCGAAGCATGCCGACAGTCGTGTTTCTCAGGCGTGTGTCCGCTTGGCCCCGCGTATCTCCCCTGTTCCTCCTTCCTTCCGCCTCCTTGTACATCCTCCTTGTGGGGGGAGCGGGAGAAGGACGAGGCGGAGGAGGAGGGAGAGAAAGCGCTCCTCGTGTGTGAGTCGTTCGGGCTCCTCGTGGTGTGAGTCGTTCGGGCGCCTCGTCCTGGTGTGAGTCGTTCGGGCCCCTCCTTGTGAGTCGTTCGGGCTCGTGGTGTGAGTCGTTCGGGCTCCTCCTCGTGGGCCTTACCTCTGGGGCTCTTGGGGGCCTCTTGGGGGGGGCCTCTTGGGGGCCTCCTCTTGGGGGCCTCTTGGGGGCCTCTTGGGGGCCTCTTGGGGGCCTGTTGGGGCCGCTTGGGGGCCTCTGGGGGGCCTCTTGGAGGCCTCTTGGGAGCCTCCTGGGGGCCTCTTGGGGCCATCTTGGGGCCTCTTGCGACCTCCTTCGAAGCGCTAATAAGCGCTGACCCCTGAGAAGGACAAAATGATTTTGCTAAGAAGGAAGAGGAAAGCGGCCCCCTCAGAAGGCCAAAATGGGGCCAAAACCGTAGTAAAATCAATGTTTTTTACTTCGACGACGAGTTCAGGCGCCAAACTCCCTCCCCCCCCTCGGGGCCAGAATCCTCGTGAGGGTAGTCGTTTCTTGGCCCTCCCAGACGTCGAAAAAGACTCCCCTGACGACCCGCGGCCCGCCCTCTCCAGGCCTAGGGGGAGGGGGTAGGGGGAGGGGTAAACCCCTCCCCGAAGGGGAAGAAGGGGGGTTGAGGACAGAGCGGGCTCTCTAAACCACTCACGCCCAAAGGGCTGGCGGGACTTCGGCTGCCAGTGTCGGTTGTCCCGGGCCACGCTCGGATACCCTCGACGCCCGCAGGTCCTCAGGCCCCTGGTTCATTGGCTTCAGCTTGAACTCAGGAGGGCTTCGCGGTGAGCGTCGAACACGTGTGGTGTTATGTGAGTGAGGCCTGGTTCCTCCCTTCCTTTTCTCTCGTCGCCGCCTCTGCTGCCTTCCTCTGCCCCTTCCTCTTCTCTCGCGCCCCCTGGCTCCGTTCTCTCTTTTCCGGATGCCGGTCTGGTTCCCCACCTGCGGGTCCGGCCTGTGTTCATTGGTTGCCCACCTGTGGCTGCCTCTCTCCCGCTGGCATCCGCCCAGTGTTTTGCCTGGTACTCTTCTGGCTTCCGCCCAGTGGTTTTGCACGCTGGACACCGGTCTGGCTTCCCACCTGCGGGTCCGGCCTGTGTTCGTTGGTTGCCCACCTGTGGCCGCCTCTCTTCCAATTTGTTTTGCAGGTGCATCCGCGCGTTCTCGCGCTAATTATCTTGCGCTGTGCCCCAGCCTCGGTCACTCCGCCCTCTGGACTTTTCCTTGCGGGCTGCTAATCAAAAAAGTATCCCCACCGGTCTTCTGAGTGGCTGCCCGTGCGCTCGCTTCGCTTGCCTCTCTTTTCTTGCTGCCTAGTCGCGGCCCGACTAGTGTTCGGACGGCTTTCGGCCTGTTTCGCGAGCCCGCATACCAAAAGTACCCCCACCAGACGTAGCCCGCTCGCCACGACTCTTTGGCGGCGTCCGGCGTATCCCGGTGCGTTTGCGATCAAAAAAGTATCCCCACCAGCCCAGTCAGACACGTTGTCGATGAGAGTTGATCTTCTTCAGGCACTTTTGGGGTCCTCTTGGGGTTCGGGGCCATCCTGGACGACAAGGCGGGGCCCTGCATCTAGATCCCCCCTTCAAGAGCCTTCAAACTAATTATCTCTTGGGGCCCTCTTGGGGCGCTCTTGGGCGCTCTTGGGGCCGTCTGGGGGGCATATATGGCTCCTCTTAGGGCTCACTTGGGCAATCTTGCGGCCATCTGGAGGTCTCAGAAGCTCATCGCACGGCGAGGAGGCGAGCAGGCAACGCACATTGATGTTCCTATTGTTTTTGAAGGGTGGAGGACTCTTGAAGGGATCTTCGGGTGGCTCCGAAAGCACTTGGAGACATCTTGTGACCATCTTGAGGCCTTTGGGAGGTACAGTCAAACCGCCGACTAACGATTAACGACTTTCCAAGGTTACCCATGCATCCTTCCCCGTCGGCCTATCCTCGTCCGCTTTCGCTGGCCGCGCCCCGCTCGCAATGTGTCGACATAGCCTTCCAGGGCCCTTGCCCTTGCACCCTTATCGTGCGTCCTTATTATACGGGCTGGCTGGCTGTATTTCGGAATCCATATTGACCATCTTCGGCCCGATTGAGGCATCTTGGAGGCCATCTTGAAGCATCGGAGGCCCTCTTGGAGTCCTTTTGGGTGAAAAGGAGCCCCCCTTGACGCCTCCATCCCCCTCCCCGTCCGGACCCAAGCCCCTCACTGAGGTGGAAGAAGGCGGTTGTGGAAAAGGAAAGGAAAGACTCGCTGAACCATCTACAGTTGGCACGAGGGTTCATAACAATCACAGTTTGGGAGGGGTGCCCTTATGTTCTTCGCCGTTGGGCTCTCCACCTTGGGATGCTCTTCGTTTTGGATATCTTCATGGGGCCTTGGGCTCTCGGCGAAGGGACGCATCTTCTTGTTCCACGTTCTTGCGAACTTGTTTCGACTGTACGCCCAGAGGGCTGGTGGGATTCAGCGTTCCTTGAAGTATCGCGACGGCTGTGTCTCAAGGGTGCACCAGTGTGGTCGGGGCTCTCCCGTTGTTCCAGCGTCTGCGACTGGTGGCACCTGGGGGGTCTCTGGCACAGAGCAGCAAGCTCAAGGCAGGTGGCACTAGGACCGTCTGACTCGATGAGGGCATGGGCTCAAACACAGCAGCATCATCGCGGTCCTGGGATGCTTTTGCTCAAGCTGGTTCGACGGCTCGGCTCCACATACTGCTCGTGGCTTGATGCCCTCAGCCTTCATACATAGTTCATAGCATTCTTGTTCCATGATAAAGGCACGTTTATTGGCTTCGCCCAGGGTGAAACGTTTGCGAAAATGGGTGCGCCGAGCCCCAGCAATGCTGCCGGTGGCAGTTAACCCACGCTTCGGCGAGCACGCCGTGCCCACGCCTGTGTTCGCAGCAGCGGCTGCCGCGAGCACCTTTGCTCTGCTGCAGCACGGGCCGACGAACTGCGATGATGCCCGTCGGCGTGAACACGGATGGCCAAGTTCAGCGCCGCAGCACGGAGGCGAGCTGCTCCGGCGCCTGCACAGCATGGACACATGTGCATTGCGATGCCAGCGGGGAAAAAGCACGCGTTGTCTCCACGGTGCGTCCGCTGCGGCAGGGCTATCCGTGTGCCTGCAGCAAGTTTCGCCACCGTGCCAGCCCAGTGCGCACCGGTCGCTGAAAGTTAAATTTGGGGATCCCCCGGTTATGATCTACTTTAGGCGCCGTCCTATTTCAAGTGTCAAGCCATTTTTCCTCTCCGTCCTCCTCAGGGGGCGTGCGGAATTCCATTTTTTGTTGAACGCCTTCGTATCTCATGTGTCTACACATTTCTTCCGACCGATGGGTATCCAGACGATTGCGGCAAGTCCCGCCATCGTTCAATATTTTCGGAGTCGACCGTGCGAGGGGCGACAGGAGGCTGCAACATGTGAGTCGAGCCGCGTTAAAGGTACAGTGTGCGTCGATCCCTCGGCCATCTTGAGATTGTCCTGCGTCATTTTAGTTAGTCTTGCAGCGCGCTAGGAGGATGAAGAAAACGATGATTTGGGTGGGAGCAGGAGGATGATGAGCAAAATGAAGAGGATCGTAGTGGGCGAGTGCGATGTGGAACGCCATGATGGGGATTATGTTGAGGAGGCGGTGGATGAATTGGAAGATGAGGAAGAGGAAGGTCGTCCCAAACAATAGTTCGGTTTTCAGTTATTGAGACGCTATGATGGGATGCCTTGACGCCGTCTTGGAGGTCTCATTGGCGACGCTGCGGCTTTATTGAGCTGCCTTGGGGCCAGAGTGGAGGCCCCTAGGACCGTCTGGGGCCGCAGGCTGGGGGCCCGCTGGAGGCCGTCGTGGGAGCCCCATTGGGCCCTCTTGGGGCCCTCTTGGGCCGCCGTGGGGCCGCCTTGGGGCCGTGCTGCGGGCATCTGGGGGCCAGCTTGGCGGCCTCGGCTGCCTGCCCCTGCCGTTTTTGGAAGCTCGGGAGCGCGGATCGCGGATCCACCATTTTATTGCACGAGGGATCGTGGCCCCGGGGAGCACGGACCCACAGTCTGTCACGAGGGGTCGTGGCCTCGTGAGCGCGGACCCGTCGCGTTTTGCGAGGGATCGTGGCCTCGTCGGAGCGCGGGCCCACGGATCTTTACTCAAGGGATCGTGGCCTCGGGATGGGGGGGGCGATGCATGCGCAGCTCTGCTGCGAGAGGAGGGAGGCCCTCAGAAGATTACACAAAACCGACCAGACAGCAACTGGCGTTCCACCACGCCTCAACGCGCCATGGGGGCACGGTGGTGGATAAGATGGTCGGCCGGGCCCGCACTGTGCAAATCGATAGTGATTTTTTGGAAGTCATTTGTGCCATTCGTGATGCTGGGCCAGGGGATGTGCTCATGATCGACGCCTCGGTGCGAGGAGGACCTGAAGACGCTGCATGGCCTAGAGCTGGCGGTCATTTTGGAGAGTTGCTGGCCCACGAGGCCGAGCGGCGAGGTGTAGCAGGCATGGTAATTGATGGGAACTGCAGGGATACTCCCATTACGCAGTATATGAACATACCGATATATGCGCGCGGCAGACATCCGAATGCTGGAAGAGCTTGGAATAGAGGCCGGACGCAGTGTGACATTATGATGGACGGTAATGTTGTGAAGCCTGGCGAATATGTTATTGTGGATGATGACGGTGTGGGTGTATGTAGTGTTGCCGAGCTTTTGGAATGGCTGCCCAAAGCCGAGGCAATCCAGCAGGTTGAAGCTCGTATGCTTACGCACACGCAAAATGGTGGAAGCCTCTTTGATAAGATACAGAATTTTGATGAGCACCTCGATGCCGTGTCGCGCGGAGACAAATGTTCCCGCTTGACGTTTGTTTGATAGATGCGTTCCGACAGGATGGTGGCCAATCAATTCGGGCCAGTGACGTGAGAAGATATTAAGCTAATCCAGAGCACATGGGGAATAGTGGCATGTATTCCGTGACGCGAGCACTGAATCTTTTTCATCACGTAAACGAAGGCGGCCTCAATCGCAAGCGCATATGAATAGAGTTCTTCGGTGGTTGCGGGAGGACAGCTGGTGTGAATGCAGAGCGGTTCAAAACACAATCACCATCAATATGGAGGAGGAGGAGGACCAGCAGCAGCAGCAGAACGATGAGAAAGCGCAGGATAAACAGGTGGAGCAAGGGCAGGACGATAATGCTGTTGATGATGAGGATGCGGTGTAGGAAGAGCTGGAGCGTGCACGATAGTATTGCCTCACCCTCGCAGGGCGAAGCCCATCGATAGCTCCGCCGATGCCGACACCGCTGCTCGTGTCGTGCACGGTGCACGGCTGCTCGTTCACGCACTTGTGCCGGCCTTCCTGAACAACGGTCGACATTGTGCGGCGATTGGTTGTTGATCGCGAGCGGCGACCATGTGTATATTTTATATATATATATATATATATATATATACACAAATTGATGTATATACGCATTTTTTTACCTCTATGCGCATATACAAGTATACGCATATGGACGTACACATCCATTTAAATATATCCGTATCTTTGCTCTCGCGCTCCGGAGACAGAGGCGCCATTCTATGCTATGGATATGCGATTATCTTGAGACATTTCGTTCGGGACCATCCGCACAAAGCCGCCTTCTGCCCAGCGGTATCGCGGCCGAGGGGTCGCACCGCGGGGCCGTGGAGACGGATGCGCTCCCAACCCGCGAGTTGACTTGCCCCTTTTCGTTGCCTGGCGTCTCTCTTCCTCCCGTGACGAACCAGCTCCTCCCAGGGCTTAGTTCGATCGGATCGATCCGATGCGACACCGGCTCTGGCCGGCTCGATCCGATGTGATCCCGCTATTCCGGCGATCGGACGCGGCCCGGTGGTCGCAGGGCGTTGTTGCGTGTCCTGGCGCGGCCGATTTGATTCGATTTCGATTGCGTGCCGATGCAGCCCGATCCGACGCGCACCCCGATTCAGTCTGACTCGTCGACTCGATGCCGACCGATCTTGGAGTGCCGAGGTCCGTTGTTATGGAGGCCTTTTTGAGCTTATCTCGGGCCCTGGAGCCCTGCCCTCCCCCCCCCCGCATCGCCGCGGCTAGATACCCCATCGAGGCTCTGGTCAGAAAGCCCCCAGGCGAGGTCGGAAGGCTGTGGTCATCTGCGTCCTCCTCTTCCTTCTCCTCCTCCTCGTCGCCGTCGTCTCGGTCGTCGACGGCGCTATCGCTTCCAAACGTGTTCCGCTCATTTCCCATTCCGCCCGCTCCCAAGGTCTCCAGGAGAAACAGAGAGCTGCCTGTCGCTGGCCAGGCCGAGCAAGAACAAGATTTCGCCGGAGGCCTCAGAAGCGCCTGCTCGCAGCGAGGTTTCGCCCAGCGCCCTCGCGCGAGGTCATCCCTCGCGGATCGAGTTCGAGCCTTGGCTTCCTCGCGTGAATCGCAACGGAGGGTGTTTGGCCAGTTTCGGCCTCCGCGGGCCTTCAACAGGCCCCTGGACAGTCAAGAAACGGCCCGAAACGGAAAGCTGGCTCCGAAGAAGGGGTGCAGATCTCCAGGGGTCGCCTTTTTGTGAAAAAGGCATGACGTCGAGGTTCTGAGCTCGCTGATCGGTTTAGACCCGCCTACCCCGCGTCGGCTTGCGGCTTCGGCCAAGATGATGCTTGGCTCGTTGGGCAGCAGTCTCGGACAGCGAAAGATCCAGGAGGAGGGGGTCAACTAACGCCTTTATCCACTGGTGGTGTAGTGAAGAAGAGACCATCCTCCTTGCTCCTTTCCTTCGCTCCTCCTTCTCCTCGTCCTCCGCCTCCGCCTCCTCATCCTCCTAATCCTCCTCCTCATCCTTATCCTCGTCCTCCTCATCCCCCCCTTCTGCTTCCGCCCTTCCAATCAAAACGCGATGGAACTGCCAAGAAGTCACCAAAAGGCAGTTGCAGTCCAGTCCAGAGGCTTTCACTCAGTACCCACAGGCGTCTTGAGCAGGTCGTCTGACCTCCACGCTCCCCCCTTCCCTTTAACTTGTCTCAGGGCACCCTCTCCTCCTCATCCTCCTCCTCCTCCTCCTCCTCAGTTGATGACCCCTGGTGGAGATTGAAATGACGCTTTTTGGAGACCATCCGGCCGAGCTTGGCAACGCTTCTCCAGGCCGGCCGAGGGTCGGTCTGTGGGGCGATTGCGCGAGCCTCACTTCGCCTCACCTCCCGACGACAGCGACGACGACAACGACGACGACGACGACGACGACGACGACGACGACGACGACAACCAAGCCGAGGACGACCACGACCACGACGGCCTGAAGTCGCCGACGAGGCCGCCGATGATGCCGCCGACGAGGGCGACGACGACGAGGCCACCGACGACACCGATGACGAGGCCGACGGCGACGCCGCCGACGACAACCTTTGCGAGGCCGCCGATGACGACGGCGCCGCGCGCCGAGGCCGCGCGGGCCCGAGCGCGCCCGGCGCCCAGAGCGGGCACCGGCGGGCGCGCGCGCATTGCACGGGGGGCGGCTGGGCGGCGTGGTCGGCGTCGCCGTCGTCGTCGGCCTTGTGGGTACGCAGTTCCAGTGATACGTTGCGTGCGGGGCATGAGCATGATTCCCCGGAGGTCCGCGCGGATTTCCTGGATCGGCGCTGGGCCCCTTCGCGGCGCCGCCCCGTGCGCGCTCCGCGCGCCAGAAAGGGGGGTCCAGCGCCGGTCCAAGAAGTCCGCGCGGACCTCCAAGGCAGCGTGAGTATGCCGCGCTCTGTTCCTCTGTTGCGGTAGGCGCGTCAGGTGAGAAGCAGGCCGGCCAGCAGGTGCACCACGGAAGGAGGAGGAGGAGGAGGAGGAGGAGGAGGAAAGGGAGGAGGAGGAGGAGGAGGAGGAGGAGGAAAGGGAGGAGGAGGAGGAGGAGGAAAGGTTGGAGGAGGAAAGGGAGGAGGAGGAGGAGGAGGAGGAGGAGGAGGAGGAGGAGGAAGGGGAGGAAGAGGAGGAGGAGGAGGAGGAGGAGGAGGAGGAGGAAGAGGAGGAGGAGGAGGAGGAGAGCAAGATGGCCCTGGGGGCCCACAGCAGCTCTGGGGCACCTCGGGAAGCTCAGTGCTCGATGGCACACGTGCCCCTCTATTTCTCACAGGCCGCTGTCTTGGCGTTCGTGCTTGCTGCGTCCGAGGGGGCCACGGCCGAGGAGTCGGGCCACGAGGCCATCGAGGCCTGGATATTGACACCAAGACCAAGGCATGGATTGTCTCCACCAGTGGAAGGTGCTCCTAGGTCTTGGTGCTGATGGTAATCTCGCGGCTCTCTCGGCCAGCCAGGAGGCCTGAACATCACCAGCATCACCGCGATCGGGATCGGTGTCCCTCCGGGGAGGCAACCGCCGATGTGGATTTTGGTCTCAACTTGTGAGCCTCCCCGACTGGCCGTTGGTGTCGTCGGCGCCGTTGTCGTTATCGATCCTTCGAGGATCGAGGACAGGGTCCATGTCGATCCGATCGATCCGACTCGGTACCCGTTTCGCCCGGCTCGATCTGGTGCGTTTCTGATGCCCCGACGGTCCGATGTGGTTTTGTGTTCGCATGGCACTGCTGTGAATCTTGGCGCGGCCGATTCGATTCGATTTCGACACCGATGCAGCCCGATCCGACGAGCATTCCGATCCAGTCTGGTTCCCCGTTTCGATGATGACTGATCTTGGAGGATTGAGGTCTGTTGTTTGGGGGCCCTGCTTGGGCCTTCTGGGACTCGTGGAATCCCCACCCCCGTCAAGATTTTGGTCAGAAGGAACCCCAGGCGAGGTCTGGGGGTCGTCGTCATACTCGTCGTCCGCGTCGTCCTCCTCCTTGTCGCCATCGTCTTCGTCGTCGGCGGGTCCGCTGTCGCTGTCAAAAGTTTTCGACTGCTTCCGAAAGGCCTTCGGGCCTCGGGGTGTTTTCCGAGCAGTTGCGCGCCCCGTCGGGGCGACGGGCACGCTGGGATCGCCACTGACGGCCGTTTGAAGCCCGAGCTGTGCGGTCCGAGAGCCGATCGGATGACCGCGTCGCCGCCGTCGTCCACGTCGTCGTCGGCCTCGTCGTCCTCGTCAGCCCCCCCGCTGCGTCTTCCGCTCCCTGTCCCCGTTCTCCGCCTCCTCTTCGTCCTCCTCAGTCTCGTTCTCCTCTCCCCCCTCGTCCCCATCTTCCTCGCTCTCCGAGCCCCCTCCCCCGCTCCGCATCCTCATTCTCCTGTACGGCCTCACCTTCACGTAATGGCTACCTTCCTCCCAGTAGCATCACCGTTGATATCAATCGCGGCTCCGATTGACATCTCTAGGCGCCCTCGGCCATCCTCGGTTGCCTGCTGAGGTCTCTTGGGGGGCGGTCTCGGGGGAGGGCTCCTGGACCCCCTTCAAATTTTCATTATTTTCGACAAAGAAGC